GCTGACAAACTCCCTAGTGCGACTTGCATATGCCACGCAAAGATGGCTACCAGGCCTGCCGAGAAATTCGACAATGGGAGAAAGAGCAAGGGTTCAAGAAGCTTCCCATCATTGCGCTTTCGGCCAATGTCATGTCCGATGTTCAGGACAAATGCGTTGCGGCCGGGTTCAGCGACTACGTCACCAAGCCCGTCGACTTCATTGATCTTAGCAGAGCCATGTCCAGGTTCTTCTGAAGCCTAGAGAAAGACGCAAAACCAGGATAAACAACAATAAGAGGCGGGACTACCAAGTCTCGTCCCTCATACACTTCTGCCTGCTGCGATAGCATAGGCGCCCGCACTACACGGTTACATTCAAACACACAAAAATGGGGTTCATACTAGCAAGGCATGGCATTTAGGAAAACAGGAGTTTCGGGGATTCACGAAAGATTCAGGTTCATCATGATTAATATGGTCCTTTCTGCTCATTGTGTACAACTGCTTCGAGGCGGATACCATCATAGAGACGTACCTCTAGAGGAGGGTCTATTGCAAAAGGGAGTTACTTCAGGATTATACATTAGCTTATATTCTTCTTACGGACTCACGACAGGGATGACACATGTCGTCGTAGCTTTGGCGATGTATGTGCATGGCGTCCAAAGTGTGGGCCAACACCGGACTTGCAGTAGAGGCATGGACGGAAATCGTTCTGATCAGGTGCCTATATGTTGGGTATAGGATGGGTCAGGCCAGGCACGGAGGTCAGCCAATACGTAAGGACGCAGCTCGATGAGTGGCCTGCGTTTGGGAGAGGAGATGGATACTTTCGCTGTGTGCTTGGTAGGGTTTGTGGGCAGAGATGGCGGTAATTGTGATTGAAAGACGATATCTCAATACATTCAATGACGCTAAAATTTACATAGCTACTTCAGCTAGCGTGTATGTGAGGTAATTATGTGGCTGTCGAATTTCGAAGCGCTGAGTGAGGCTCAAGTCAGACAGGCAAATTCGTCGTGTCGTCGAAGCTGGCTTATTGACTCAACCTCAGGTTGGGACCGCTTTGTTCCTGCTTTGTAGAGCAAATCCAAGCAACCTTCCTCCACTATTTTCCTCTCTTTCTTAATATATAGCATTCTACAGGTCCTACCCACTCTACCATTCGAACGAGGCAGTGTCCCAGACACTGGAGACAGAAGGTCTAGGTGACCCGGCCTTACTCTTGCCTAGTCCGACTCTGCCAATTGAACCCACTTCAAAGTGATCTATTTCGCTGATTTCCGTATCCAGGCTGAAGCTGGAGGCCACTTTCTACTCGAGAGCGACGCCAGGCAGGAGGGTGATGGTTGAAGATTCAGCCTTACCACCCCCACCGTCAAAGTTCTTTCGCTACTCTCAACCCACAACCTTTTATGTTCTTTGCCTCGAAGACTGGAACGCGATAGGCCTATCGATTCTCTCTTCTTCTTTCCTCTTTCGATGACGGCCGTACATTCATTTGTCTCGCACCTCCTCGCTGCATCTGCTACCTTCGGACCGTCCATCCCAACACTCGCTTCAAAGTGGCCGCGAATAGCTTCCTTTCCTTTCTTCATTCGTTAATCCCGATCTTGTCTTTTAGTACTTTTATGGAGCGCAAGACCTCCCTTCCTCTTCAAATTTCAGTCATTTATACCACACACTACTTGCAAACAACCTCCCGACCGGATCACTCGGCGCTAGGTGGCTTATAGCTCTGATACCGGCCTTCCCCGATCCTTTCGAGCCTCCAGGCGAAATCAACTGATATACACAATTCGGAAACAGTCACCGGAGCTCAATTGAAAGGTAGCTCCTTCCGTTGCTAGCTTACGCGTAGGGCCTAGTCGCCATTCATCTCGAGGCATCACACAAGTCTCACCAAGTACAAAACCACGGCATACTCCTCAACCGGCCACGAGTAAAGCAGTCAACAACATGACTTTGCCCTGGACTCACCCTGGAAAGAGGCGTGCGAGCGAAGCTGAGCACAACGCGCCTAAAAGAAAGCGAGTCGAACAACGAAACCGTTCGAGCGTGGTCGTGCCCAGTGCAGCACCGCGGGTGATGACGGGAACGAGGCCAGAACAACGACAACATCAATATATACGAAGACACAGAAGAACCATGGCGGTTGGAAGTTCAGGTAATGGCTTAAAGGGTTGTGGCTGGCCTATGGCTACAGATTTTTGCCTCCGAAAGAGGAATTTCATCGCTGATATATCGCAGCCCGAATCCCAGAATTTCGCCCACCGCGGCCAACTCGTCTCGGCTGCTTCCCTGAAGTCTCCCGTCACAGTAAGAAGAATATGCAAAATATTTTGGTTTCCTTGCTTAACAGAAGTGTTAGGCGTGGCGTCGCTTTGCCGAAACCCAGCAAATGTCCAAGTCGAAACCGATGCCGGCTACAACCTCGCCAAGATGTCCGATCTCAAGCCTGACATGAGCGTTCAGGAGAAGCTAATGTTAGGACTCCGAACTGGGTTACAACGCAGGGACGAGTACCGAGCCAAGGTTGAACAAGACCCAGCCCGTTTACGACATGAATCTCGAAACGATATCATGGCTTTTGGTGGCATCGATCTGACCGACCTTGCCCTCGCCTTGCCGAAGTCATTAAGACAGAAGGAAGTTATCAACGCTGCTGAAGATGAGAAACGGCGTTTGGGTTTTCCATCCACGGAAGTTACTCTACCAGACAGAAGCCCGGCTTATGCCAACGAGTGGTGGGACATGTATAACGCCTACATCAGAGCCAGATCGATGTTTGTGTAAGCTATCTTCTTGTCGATAGAGAATATTTCGCTCATCAGTAAACAGCAAAGGGGCCTCTCTCAGGCTTACGGCAGTATCACGTCCATACAACAAGACCGTCCACAGCATTCCCGGAGTAATTGCTCGGCGGCGGGCCGATCAGATCATGAATATCGAGTGGCAACCCAGCTACCACGGCATGTCAATGAACAAGAGCTTCAGCGCCTTTCAAGCCAGGTCTATGGAATTGAACGGGTATCGGAGGCGTTCGATACAGTACATACACTTCCAAAGGGAGAACAACGGGCAAAAGTCGTTTCCGGGGGGAGCCCTGGGTGCTAATGCAGGAGACGACGACGATGACTCGAGTTTCACCACAGAGAGGTTCTTTGAACGTGATCGGAAACACAAACTATCATTGATAGACTTGGATATGTAAGTATTTCGTCCTTATTCGACACATGGCCTAGCTAACATTTTACCCAAGCACCGATATCAATGGAGTGAAACGCAGATGGGTATGTATCGAGATAACCAAGCCTCTGGCCCAAGTCAATGGCCCAGCGCCGATCGAACTGACGCCAATGCCACAATCTTTCATCAAGATTGCTATACCTTGTGACAGCATCCTAGTAGTGGTGAACACCAGCAAGCCACTGCCCATCATGGAAGAGCAACTGGACAAGATGGAACCTCCACAGCTTGGTGATTTTGACAAGCTTACCATTGGGAGGGTCGATTCAGGCTTAGAGGATTTGAAGATGAGGCTAAAGATTTCCGGAGACGGCTTGCCAATCTTCGTGACCGGGTCCAAAAAGGCTCATATGCCGGATGACAGCACACTTGACGACTTTCTCTGCGCATCGGATGTGACTGGTCTTCCCTGGAAAGAAACAGACAGGCGTGTCAGCAAGAGTACGTTGTTGCTGAGGAAGGCCGAGTTCTGGGACCGCTTTAATTTGGCGGCAGACGCCGACAAAGTGCGGTGGGAATCACTCCAGGACGCCATGGCGAGCGATGAGTGCATCGTAGACATTACCTTTGAGGGTGATTGGCAAGAATTCGCCCCTGTTGCTGGGGCGTCTCAGTCAAGGTGGACGCCTGTGCAGCATGAGTCGTCGCAATCTCAACATAGTATCAGGCCGCAAGGTCTGAATAGAGGGCAAAACAACAGACACCAAGGCAACACGGCTCCTTCTAAAAGTTCTGGGCTTCGCAACGAAGTCCATTGGTAGGATCAACGCGCTAGATAGCAGTTGAGGGTCGAGTGGGAAATGGCCGAATTGCAAGCAGAGAATGCGCAAGAGATAGAAGTTGCGTCAAATAATGAGGAACTCAATGGTTTAGGGCATGGACGTCTAGGACATGGCATGGAATCTCTTTACAGCGGACTGGCAGAGGCTCAGAAGGACTCTGGGGGCAGTGAGAGCGAGTATTCCGTAGCTGAATTTGGTTGATTGGTGCTTACCAGTTCATCGTTCTAGTGAGCCATCTGAGTGATTCATGGCTATGTAGGAGAGAGAAGAGACCGAAAAGAATGACTTCACTGGGAATCGAGCAAAAGGTAAGGTTGAGTGAGGCTCGAGGACTTTCAAGTTAATACAAAGACCCCCCCATCATACCCCTCGGCCACGTTTCCCTGACCTTTAATGACGAGATGGAAAACAATTCAAGTCTAAGTACCGCAAACCTGATTTCCGGGAAGTATTCAAGTCCTAGAACTCCGGCTGAAAGAGGAATACCCGCTCGGGAGGGGGGATGCTCTCGACAGAAGTCCTTTTTACTGTTCCATAGGGGGTTATGTCACTAAGGGGCAAGTCTGCTGGCTGAGTAACCCTTGGTCTTGCGAGCGGGCCCTGAGTATGTAAAATGACCCTATGGTACTTTTCCTCTTCGTTCCCCCTGAGAATTTGCTATCCCCCTGGCCCCAAACTTTTGCTGGAATTACTCCTGGGTAGAGTATGGGACGTTGTCAAAGGTGGGTCCATCGGTGTGCCAAGCCAGAAGCCAGGTGAAGCTCGGTGAAGCCGGGGGAAAGGTTCCGCCGAGCTCCAGCTTCATCCCGCCAAAAAACAAACCCGCCCAGCGAACTTTTTAGAAGCCCGGTGCCTTGAGCAGCAGCAGCACCACCACCCCCGCCATCTCCACGGTTTCCTCTGCAACGGTGAAGCTCTTCGCCAAACACACATCCTCTCGACGACACCAATTTTTTATTGAGGTTCTTAAAATCGTTGTCGCACAACCATGCAGGCTCCAGTAGTGGTAATGAGTATGGCAGCCCCTCCTTCCCCAGAGCTCTGACTAGCTACCCCCCCAAATATCAGGATCAGGTACTAACTGCGTACTCTACAGACACCGGTGCCGGTGAACGGCAGACGGGTCGCAAGGCCCAGATGTCCAACATCGCGGCCGCCAAGACGTACGATGTTCTTTCGAAAACTCCATAGACACTCGCTAACCCCACCATCAGCGTCGCCGACATTATTCGATCATGCTTGGGTCCCAAGGCTATGTTGAAGATGCTCCTCGACCCCATGGGCGGTATCGTCCTTACCAACGATGGCCATGCCATCCTCAGAGAGATTGAGGTCTCGCACCCTGCAGCAAAGAGCATGATCGAGCTCAGCCGGACACAAGACGAAGAGGTTGGCGATGGTACAACAACGGTCATTATTCTGGGTAAGCCCCTGAAAGCTATCCTGCTTATAAAGCCAGAGACTGACCTGGCCCAGCTGGCGAGATGCTTGCGCAGTCCCTCCCTCAGCTCGAGCGTAACATTCACCCCGTCCAGATCATCGCCGCCTTCCGCCGCGCGCTGAAGGACGCCCTCGAGATCGTCGACGATATCTCCCTCCCCATCGATGTCAACGACGACAAGGCCATGCGCGGCCTCATTTCCTCTTCTATCGGCACCAAGTTCATCTCGAGATGGTCCGACCTGATGTGCGACCTGGCTCTCCGCGCAGTCCGCACCGTCACCTGGGAGGCCGGCAACGGAAAAACCGAGGTCGACATCAAGAGATACGCACGTGTGGAGAAGGTGCCGGGCGGTGAGATCGAGGACAGCAGAGTGCTAGACGGAGTCATGCTCAACAAGGACATCACCCACCCCAAGATGCGCCGGAGAATAGAGAATCCCAGAATCGTCCTCCTCGACTGCCCCTTGGAGTACAAGAAGGGCGAGTCGCAGACCAATATCGAGATTTCCAAGGAGGAGGACTGGAACCGTATCCTGCAGATTGAGGAGGAGCAGGTTAAGGCTATGTGCGAGGGTATTATTGCTCTTAAGCCCGATCTGGTCATTACCGAGAAGGGTGTCTCAGGTGCGTCTTATTGTCGGCTAGGTTTGGGGAATGAGGGCTAACATCCTGCAGATCTCGCTCAGCACTACTTCATGAAGGCTAACATCACCGCCCTCCGCCGCGTTCGCAAGACGGACAACAACAGAATAGCAAGAGCGACGGGCGCCACCATTGTCAACCGCGTCGATGACATCCAGGACTCCGATGTCGGCACGCTCTGCGGCCTGTTTGAGATTGAGAAGATTGGCGACGAGTACTTCACCTTCCTCACCGGATGCAAGAACCCCAAGGCCTGCACAGTGCTCCTCCGCGGCCCGTCGAAGGACGTGCTCAACGAGATTGAGCGTAACCTGCAGGATGCCATGGGTGTTGCTCGCAACGTCATGTTCAACCCCAGACTCTCCCCCGGTGGTGGTGCTACTGAGATGGCCGTCTCGGTGCGGTTGAGCCAGCTCGCAAAGGGCGTCGAGGGTGTCCAGCAATGGCCGTACAAGGCCGTCGCTGACGCGCTTGAGGTTATCCCCCGTACCTTGGTCCAGAATGCCGGTGCCAGCCCCGTCAGAGTACTGACTGACCTGCGCGCCAAGCACGCAGAGGGTAAGCACTCGTGGGGTATTAACGGTGACTCTGGCGTTGTCGCCGACATGAAGGAGTACGGTGTGTGGGAGCCGGAGGCTATCAAGTTGCAGAGCATCAAGACGGCGATTGAGGTATGTCTACATTGGTTTACGATTTTTGCCCCTCTTTTCTCTTCATCTTTTACACATTGTTCAACAATACTAATACATGGCTCACAGTCCGCTTGCTTGCTCCTCAGAGTAGACGACATTTGCAGCGCAAGAAAGGCAGCGCAAATGGGCAACGGCCTGCACGGAGGTGGCGACGAATAAGATGCCTGTTGACGTTAGTCGGATCCGGTATTTTTCATGACGAAGACGGGAGAGCGGTTGCAATGAGCAGTGATGAAGATGAAAAAGAAAAGGTCATACCCCTGTATGGATGCATAGATATGGGATTAGAAATTACCTAGACGACTGAAGTTCTCGGGACATCTCCAAAGGACAAAAAAAGCTTTGATGCTCATGCTTTTCTGAAAATGCCCCCCCTGCCTTGTGTCTCCTGTCTTGTCAAATCAATGTTTAAGTTGGGCGCGGGACCCACCGAACATTTGGTGTTTGGTCTGAAGTTATTTTTGGTCACGCCAAGCTTATGTTCAAGCTTGAAAAAAAGAGCTCAAAGCTCGACAGCAACCGAACCCCAAGACCCAGGCTCAGGTCCAAGGGGCCCTCCAAAACCACGGGACGATGAATCAGTCCTCGTCGTGGATCACGATACCCGGGGGCTGAGCAGCTCCTGACGAGGTCGTTGCCGTCTCTGAGCCCTTGCTCTTGCCGTCCTTATCATCCTTGGCATCTTCATCCTCCTTGTTTGTAGATGTTTCCGCCGCAGCCCTTGCGGCGACACCACCACTTGACGAAGAAGCGGCTGCAGCTCCTCCCTTTGCCACGCCAGCAGCACCACCACCACCACCACCGGGTCCCTTTTTACCCTTTTGCTTCTTCTTATCCCTCTTTTCCCGATTCTTCCTCGTGCGCTCCTCGTCCTTGGCAGCCCGCTCGGCCTTTTGCCGCTCAAACTCGTCGTTTTCCTTCTCCTGTCTGACCTCGTCGTCCATGGCGCGCAGGCGGTCGTACTCGCGGCGCCGGCTGGCCTTGTAGACGTGGAACTCGCCGGAGCCGGCGCCGGCGGAGGAACCTTGGACGTTTGTGACGATCTCGGGCGGGGCGGCGACGGCGCGTTTGGCGACGGCGCCGGGACCGGAAGGGAGACGGATCTCTTGGTCTGGTTTGGAGAAGAGGGTCTCGAGGTGTTTTGCGTGTTCGGAGACGGGGGTGAGGGCGCGTTTCTTTGTTGGGCGGCGGGAGCGGGGGTCCGCTGAGGTGGGGATTGATTCGGGGCCTTCGCCGGACATTTTTGCTGCTGCTGTTGCGGCCGGTGGTGTTCGGGGTGTGGAAGGGAGGTCGGTCCGTCGGTTGAGGACCGGATCCTGCGGGTTCGGCGGTGGGCGGTTGCGTTGAGCAGCTTTTGAGATTGGCGGAGGAGAGTCGTATGATTGTGGGATGAGGCTGGATGTGGAATGGGCTGATCCGGGGGGGAGGAACGTCGGTAGGCCCGGCTACGGTGATTGCGCTTTGCTAGCAGCTATGCGATGGGCTATGCAAAACGGGCGGGCGGGAAGGCGCATGTGATGGTAGCCGTCTGCGTACGTAGCTGGGTGGTTTGCGTTGCAGTCTTCCCCGGTCTAGGCAGAGTGTGACTGACTGTTGGATTGGGTGAAGTGGGCGATTGAATGTTGGTGACTTGATGTTTGATTGTGAGCTACCACAAGAGATCGCGAGATGGAGGCGCGCGCGCGCGGCGTAAGGTAAGGTAATCTAAGCGGGAAAAGATTGGCGCGCGGTGGCGTGGTGAGAGGTCGGTCGGTTGTGGGCGGCTAGGAGATGGGCCGGGGTGGCGGCGGCTGTCTGCTGTTTCTGACCTGCCTGTTGGTAAGAACCGGTAAGAGTCAAGCACGTTTGCGGCGAGGTGTGCGATTGCCTGTTTGCCATTTGGAAAGGCTGAGGAAATGAAGCAAGGTGATTGGGGGCGACGGGAGTTGCAAGGTGTGGGCAAGGTTGTGTGGATGAGGTGGGGAACAAAGATTGAATATCGAATGACAGTGCTGGGAATGGGCGGTTCTGGCCAACGCGCCTAATCGGAGCATGCAGATGAACCACGCTTGAGCCAGACGAGGTGCGGAATTTGAGTGACACAAGCACTCGGTACGGATACACATACTTTTTTGAGTTTACCTTACTATGTATGTATGGGGTTGCAGTGATGTTGGTTGTCAGGCGTCAAGATGGACGTGATGAGTGAATCACAATCACAGGAAGGGAATATTGGTTGGGAAGACTGCAGAAAGAGGAGTTGCACCACAACGTCCAACAGAATGTATGTGGTTTGCTCTTCGTCTGTTGGATGAAGATGCATTTTGGGGTTGTAGTATGGCTTCACCTGGAATGCGGGCACTTTGGTTCTGCAGGTAAGACAAAAGTAAGTAGTGCCGGCAGACCCCGTTTCCCCTCCATTTTTTTTTTCTTTTTCACAAAACATAATCCGTGAATGGATGTCCGTATTCGCAGACCCATTCAGAGAGAACCTACCTACCTTACCTTAGGCAAAGGTATTCATAAAAAGTGAAAGAGAAAGGTAGGATAGAAAATTGCAAGTGCCGCCGTGCCGCCGCAAGGTGGGGCATACAGCCTCGCCGCTTGTCGGAGGGTAGGTGCGCCAATCAGGGGCTGCACATTCCCTGTCTCAAGGTGCCAGCCCGAGCCCTGCCTCTGACGTCTGGTTGGCTGACAGGGCGTTGAGATCTTCCGATGTACCCCGCTGTAGAGCAAGAGATGGCCAGGGGCCGTGGCCTGTTGGAACAACTTGGAGGGGGGACGGCCCTGCCTGTCTTTAAGCCCCCGCGGAATACCTAAAGAGCCAGCCCAAGTCGATTGGGTTGTCTCTGGTAAAGGTACAGGGCAGAGTGTGGATGGGTCTGTTTGACTGTCATTCATTTGGGTGGGACGAGGGGTCCTTTTCTCTAGTATACCTCCTACAGGAGATTTGCGCTTTTGCGGCTGGCTTGCGGCTTGCGGCTTGCCATGGCAATACCCAAAAATACCTGGCACACAAGGGGCAACACGCCGTCGATTGATGTACAGTCCTCATGCCCCTATGCGGGAGTTGGTCATTGTCACTCATGGCGGCAGTGGCATGGGCAAGATACGTATCGCATGCATGCAGTCAGTGATGGTGGATGCATCAGACAACCAAGAGAGTCCCTGAGAGTCACACTTCCCCTCCAAAAAAACACCCCTGAGACTTCTCTCTTGCAATGACAGACATGTCCATTCCATCCCACTTAAACCACTCCTTGCTACGCCTTACGTTCCTTGCACCTTCAACCCAAACTCAACCCATCTCAACCTCTTCAACCTGTTGGTCGGAAACGTCTACACACTACTAAAGCAGGCTCCATCCCTCTCCCCGTCCGTTCCTAAGGTTAAGGTTGGCATAAAGCGATACACGTACAACGGCAGCCCCATCCCAAGGTTTGCCTCTGCGACTAGCATCCGCCCCCCGTCTACCACTCTCCTGCCTTTGCCCCGCCACGCCTCATTCTTTCCCCTACACTTCCACATCCTTCCCGGTCAACAAGGTTCCCAACGCTACGACTTTTTGCGACAAGAGGCTCGCGTCCATTTTGTTTGCACAGAGCTTTGTTCTCTTCTCTGAATGGTATTCTTCGGGCAATAAAGAACTTCTTGCTTCTTACAACAACCACAACCACCTCTCTCACTACACCGCCGACAACCACATTGTCGACCGCTCCAAACAACTTCTAGGCGCCTGATCCCGATTACAAACCGGAAAACACACCCGCCACAACCCGACATCATGGTCAAACCGAGGCTCATCATCCTCATTCGGCACGCTCAGTCAGAGGGCAACAGTGCGACTCTCTCTTTCTTTCTCTGTTTCCCTTGGTCCGAGATATCTCCGTTCGACCGGATTGCTAACTGTTTTTCAAAACGCAGAGAACCGCGATATTCACCAAACGATACCCGACCACCGAGTAAAGTTGACACAAGATGGCTGGCAACAAGCCTACGAAGCTGGCCGCAATCTGCGCAAGTTACTGCGTGCCGATGACACACTGCACTTCTTTACTTCCCCCTACCGCCGGACTCGCGAGACAACCGAGGGCATTCTCTCGACTCTGACATCCGACGAGGAGGATCCTTCTCCGTTCAAGCGCTCCAACATCAAGGTCTACGAGGAACCTCGCTTGCGTGAGCAGGACTTTGGTAACTTCCAGCCGTGCTCCGCCGAAATGGAACGCATGTGGCAAGAGCGTGCCGATTACGGCCATTTCTTCTACCGCATCCCCAATGGCGAGAGCGCCGCAGACGCCTACGACAGAGTTAGTGGCTTCAATGAGAGTCTGTGGCGTCAGTTTGGCGAGAATGATTTTGCCAGCGTTTGTGTATTAGGTATGCCGGACACCTCCGAGCCGTTTTGCCTTGTGTTGCTAACTCCTTTAGTCACCCACGGCCTCATGTCCCGGGTGTTCTTGATGAAGTGGTATCACTTCACTGTCGAGTACTTTGAGGACCTGCGGAACGTCAACCACTGCGAGTTTCTCATCATGCGCAAGCAAGAAGAGAGCGGCAAGTACATCCTCGAGAATAAACTCCGGACATGGTCAGAGCTACGCAAGGAGCGGGCCGAGTTAAAGGAGAAGGAGGAGAAGGAACGTAGCGAGGTCGAGGGAAACCAGGAAAGGTCCACCAAGGATGCCAAGAACGGTACTCTTCTCGAACGCAGTAAGACCTTCATCGTCACGCGGCGCTGGGGTGGCTGTCCTAACGGGTGTAATCACAAGAGCCACTACCAGAGGCGAGACGACCTGGAAGCCCTTCGCCGAACGGACGAAGTCACCTCTAATGGGTCTGTTGTATCCCGTCGGCAGTCCCCTGCACCAGGACGGCGACCCATTAAGCGATGCGAGCAGGGATACACATCCGACGAGGGCACCGACAGCGATGGCCGGCCACCGCAGATCGACGTCACCCGAGCTCGTCATGAAGTTGTTTCATCTCCCGATGGAACCCCATCCTTTATCTCTGCCGAAGATCGTCTACGGAGCATGATCTCGCCGCACCTGAATGTTGGCCGTGATTTTGGCGGAACTTTCTCCGGACAGACCTCGATTGCCGGCAGTGACACAGACTCTTCCGAGGAGGATGGCCACAGACCGGAGGTCACAGCCGTGACCAAGATCAAGGTTGGCATTGTGTCTAATGGAGACGCCAACGGCGCCAACGGCAGTATCAACAGCATCGTCGGTGGTCAAACCAAAGGAAACATGACACCAAACACTGAAGATGAGCAATCAGACGAGAAGAGCCGGCGGCGCCGCGCCAACCGCCTTGGCGATACCAATAGCAGCCACCGAGGCTCTGAGGCAGACGAGGATGACATTGACGCCGCGGAGAAGCGGGACAGGAGTATCTTGGGCAGTGTTTACTGAACGACATGACGAAGCCGCCACACGGTGGTTTGAAACAGGCCACACGAAGCTAAGCGGGTTTCTTTCTGGAGAGGCGCATCCACGGATAAGGGACCTGTGCAGGAATGCGGCTTTTCTTTTCTCCTTTGCTCATGAACGATTTACATGCTTGCGATTAGGGATTCATAACGCATTAGACGGGCACGGGTTACTTCATCGATGGCGCCTTGTTGGATTCGTTGTTGTATAGTTGTTGGTTACGACTTGAGGAGGATATACCTAGATTGCATGGTGCGAATAGACAAAAAGGGGCAGTCACGTCAATGCCCACAAATTGAAACATTCGAGCGTTTTCTGCCAACATGACTGTTATGTTGATTTGATGTATAAGTGACAGGATCACTATCCGCGGCGTGTAGTCTGAGTGCTCCTTGCTGACGTCGGCATAAAAGACGAAAGTGATTCCATGGGAGTCGAGTCAGTCATAGGTGTAAAGGGAGACGCCATGTTTATTGATGAAGACAAATTCAAGTCATCCCTTCTTACTTTGCATAGGCAATGAATAAACCGAACTCGACTTCCCAATGACTTGGAAAAATCATTGAGAGGAGCCTCGTTGCGTAAGAAGCAAATATTGACTCTTTAATCAGCTGGTCTTGATCATCATAGAGCATCGTCGTATCTGGTTGGAGCATGAGAAGTAGCAAAACTATCCCATGACTATGAAAGCACGAAAAAGGAGAGGCTGGTTCCCTTACGTTCTTGAACTCAACTGGCTGACCACTTTCTGTGTTCCAGCCGAGATGGGCGAGGGACAATGATCCCGTGTACAAATGCGTATTCATCCCATCTACTGAATACACATGGGAAGGAGCCCATATATACCCCCTCAACGCCATCCCCGCCACCAGCCAGACGGCGCCCGTCTAGGTCGACGGGTCAGGTCAAACTGGCTGGGTGGTGGAGTGATATCAAGGTCAACAATTAATTCGCCCCAATACATGCCTACTCGACGACAGGCTCCGAGTTCGATTTCCAGCATGAGCACCAAGAGATGTAACTCCCAATTCAGCACCGGGGGGGTGAACTCTTTTTCTTTTGTTCCTATCTTCATGTGTAACGGGTTTTGATTCCGTGACGTCTAATGGTCATTTGTATCAAAAGCCCTGCCTCATGTCCTTCGTTAAAGATGAAGCCTCAGCTTTCGACTACATAGCACTGCTACAAGTCAGAGTTTTCCAGAGCAGTTCCGCAAGCGGCTTTTGAGATTACGAACACATGGTAAGGTAGGCAATCTTCGATTAATAAATAGCCTGGCAGCACCGCTGCTTCTCCGTTTCTCTAGTGATGCTGTGATATATGCGTGCTGGTAGTGAGCAGGAGACCTCGCCAACCGGAATTGGATCATGAGAGAAAATCTCAGAAAGGAGACTACTATCTATCGCTCTTTCCGAGTCTCCCAGAGTCCCTTCGGCGTGAGCCCACGTAGACGGCATCTTGGCACCTCCGGCGCCTTGGGCCAATCAGCGTCCTGAATGGGCCGAGAGGAAGATGCAAGGCCTTGCTTTAGTAATCGCCAACGTAAAAGGCTTCCTTGCAACAAAGCTCTTACCTGGATAACAAGGCTATTATTCTGGTCGAGTGTACGGACTGAAGGAGTGAATCATGATTCCGGCGGTGTGACAAGCCAAAAGGCCCCTGTGAGGGCGGCGGCGGCCCGCTGCGTAGAGTATAGCCAGCTTACTTGCCGCGCGCTTCTCAACGTTCCAAAAGAAAATATGACGAGCTCTCACTTTAGGCTTTGATCGGTTGGGATCCATGAACGCTGGACCGGAACTCTTTTTCCGAGAGAAAATTAAACAGCCTACCTGGTGGAACCTGCCACAAGTCAGACCCGTATAGCAGGCATGCAGGTGGCGCTTCCAAGACCACTTTACAATAGCTGCTGAGGGATACATTTAGAAGGCCTTGAAACTTTACGTAAATGAGATGAACGACAGAAAACCGTATCACCGCTCAAGTTCAAGAGCACTCGAGACAGTGGTGAAAAACTAACTTCAGGCATAGCTACGGAAGGTAGTTGGCACTCACGAAGAGAATGCGTGTGTGAAGAACGCAGCTCAGGCCGCTATCAGTACTCTGTCGGAAACATCAGTAATCAAGTGGGATAAGTCTACTGGGTGATAATACTTCATGAAATCGAATTGGGGGGCTGCATTGGCAAGTAGGTTTTTCTCAACCAAGGTAAGGTTAGTTTGACTTGCGCCGGGAAATTGGTGGTCGATATTCTGCCCAGCCCTGCCGTCTTGATTAAGACAACACGCGTCTTGAGCCTTGGCTCTCGTGCGCATGACACGACTCGATGGCAAAGATAGAAGACGAAATCATGGGATGCACGATAAGTATACCAAAGAGGCGCCAGGGGGTTCGTCTTATACCAAGGACCTGTTCGTAAGTCTTTAAAAGCAATCTCTACGTTCGCAACGCCCCCACACGATCTTACGAGTTACCATCCTCTAGTAGAACGAACCCGAAGTAGAAAATTGTGGCGCGTGCAAAGGCCAACTACAGTCTTCAGAGAACAAGCTTCGCCACGAGGGTAGTTTCCAGTGGTTTCCAGGGATACCCGTACTCTGTCATAGCAACTTTTCCCGCTGCTGAAATGCTCGTCCTCTTAATGCATTACGCTTCGAAATAAGATGAGGCTTAAGCCACTATACTCCTAAAGGAGACTTGCCATAATGGGGAGTTAAGCTTAGCAAAGAAGTTACCTGACTCGAAAGGGCGACCTTATAAACCTTCACATATTAACCATCTCCCTGTTTCCCTAAGACTTCCCACGTTCCCGACTCTACGGTTGCAGATCTTTTCTGCTCTTTCTACGCAGTACTTCGGCGACTTTTCTCTCACGCTGTCCAACTTAGCTAGTAGGTTCAGCACGGATGGTAAGTTGCTCTGAGAGCCTCACGAACAGACCATCTTGATCCATATTGTGCTCTTTCAACTGATTCAGGGCCAGAACCTGTAATTAAACTCTACTGAGGTAGTGTCAGTGTTCTGTTGCGGAGACTCCGGACGGCTTACAGGAAATTGACTGATGCGTGGATGGAACAGCCTCAACTCCGTCACGCAAGAGTGTAAGTCCACGAAGAGTATAAGTCCACTCAGGTAGCTAGATATAGTATTCTTGCATAATATGACCACCGTGAATCTCACTTCAGTCTCTCCTTGACCTCACGCTGCGATCTTTGTGTGTAATTCAACAGGCCGTAGTTCTTCCATCACTCATTCAAGGAAGACACAGCATACACTCTTTTATTCCAATAAGTAATCTTTTTCAAAAGTTTTGAACTTTCAGCGCTGAAGATGGCTTCTGTCTCGTTCAAGAGCCTCGGGCTCTGGCCCTGGCCGTCTCGCAACCGGCTCTCGCCGCTGTGTTCCCGACAAACATCTTCAACCGTTCCGAAATCGAGGCCATGTCTCTGGAGAAGCGCGGCTCTATGTATGCCTACCAGCTCTGGGATTCTGCCGAGATTCCGTACATCCTGCAGGGCCTCCCCCACGACCTTTCAGAGTCGATCCGCGGCGCCATGCGAGAGTGGGAGCAGTCGACTTGCATCCGTTTCCTCCCCAAAACGAGCCAAGGTGCCTGGGCCAATTTCAAAAAGGTAACGTATACTTGCAAAAGAGAATATGGTTTGGGCTGCGCGACTGACTGACTCCTAGTTTGACGACGGATGTTACTCCAGGGGCTTGGGCTCTCCTGGCTCGGGAGAGAGACTCGTCAATCTCGATTACCCCAATGCTTGGGAGAAATTTCTTTCCTTCGGAACGTACAAGGCCTGTCTCGACGCCGGAACGCCTTCCCACGAGGTAAGAATACACCATATCATCTTTGCAATGTACAGAGACTTATACCGGAATTTTAGCTTGGACATCTGATCGGACTCACCCATGAGCACCAACGCCCCGACCGCGACCAATACATTCGCATCCTGACAGACCGCGTCCAAACGGACGACCTCGACCAGTTCACAATCGACACGGGCGCCGACGTTTCCATCCCCTTCGACTACAACTCCGTCATGATCTACGACACCAAGGCCTTTGCCAAGACCAACAAGCTGACGCCCATCTCCGGCTCGGCAAGCTTGAAGCACACAATGGAAACCGTCACGGACAAGAAGATCGACCCCTGGAACTCCCCGACCGCCAACGACTTCAAGGCCGTCAACAACGCCTACGCCTGCGAGGAGTACTACACCCGCGTGATCCCGCAGTGCCTCGCCGGCAGCATCCCGTCCAACGGCGACTTCTCCTCCTACTCCTTCATCCTCGACAAGCACACCGAGGCCTACATGGCCGCCAACGGCTACACCCACGTCGCGGCCCACCAGAACTGCCGCGCCAACATGGTCGGCCAGGATACCGACAACTGGGGCTTCACGCCGCTCAACGGCTGGGGACCCCGCGCGCAGTACAAGATCACCACGAACCGCTGCAAGAAGGACCACGACCGCCACGCCAGCCGGTACGAGGTTGCCCTGTGCAAGGGAGACAACGAGGGTGCCTGTGATATCAAGTGCGGTCTTCGCCGCGTCTGCCCCTTTGATGCGAGCGGCAAGCAGGTCGATAGCAAGGCTATTGATGTTGTTGACAACAACCTGTGGATTTGCCACCCTCACTAAGCAGACTCATTCTTGGGTTAACTGAGACCACTATGGTTTGAGCCTGGCTGATAGTGATTCTAATCAACTGGACTGTACAAAACTTGGATGTTTGAGGAGATGAGAGACGGCATAGCATACGGCATGTTGGGAGTTCCCGGGGGTGCGTAGTTGTTGCGTAGGAAGGATAGGAAATGCATAATAGCTTAGCTTAGTTACATCGATTGAATCGAAATTTCAGTCTAGGCATTGCTGAAGGAGTTTGAAGCGGTCCTATGGAAATCTTCGTCTTCAACTAGACGGCGTCACCTCACTTTCCTTGACATCAAGGCTGAAAGTAGACCTCTGGGTTTTATTTTCTAAAGTTATGCTGTCTGGAGCTCTCCCAACTCACCCAGAGCTATGACAGCGTCCATCGCCACGACTTCGAGATCTGCTGATGCTCCAAGAAGTGGCACTGTCACTGGCACATTCCCCTTGACAATATCAGGCAGCACAAGATCGGTTGACCATGTATAGTGGGATGATTAGCATTATTGATTCAATATACTGCAAGCCGTGATAGCTAAGCTCCCTGCCCATGACTTTCATCCATGGCCCTTGTCTTTTCGGTGACTACCTTGCCCGGTTTGATTGTGTACGCATCCCCGTCGCACATTTCGAAGTTGCTTTGTAAGACCTGGTGCAATCATTGACGCAGGTCATCCCATCTCTGGATAATACGCGGCGATGGGACTTCCTGGCATTTTCACAGAAAAAGCCTCCCAAAATTTAAATTGCGATAGGCTTCTGTACAGTTTTGGAACAACATCACGGCGTTCTGCTTGAATTTGGCCAGCGATGAGGGGATTCGGGCTTCAACAGATTCACATATGTACTACCATGGGCACACTGATGCCTCTAGCCCCTCAAACACCCTTCGACTTCGTGGCGATTATGGCTAAACCTCCTTAATATACTGTCGTGATAGCATTTCTTGCCGCTGTAAACACTTGAGTTTAAAATCCCCGTGGATCCAGTTGCGACATCGATATCGAGAAACATGACCAGGACTGAAGTTCGAATGCTTAGCCACGCAGTTAGAAGTCTACAAGCTCTCTGGGTCCTCTGTAACTTTGACCATGCACGATGGCGTTGAAGAAATCAAGTACTGAAGAAACGTGAACTTACCTTGAAGTATTGTCTATAATGCATCCGAACGAGACCTTTGATTCTGTGGCAACCGCGGCAGTAGGAGGGCCGAGGAGGAGGGAGCGATAGTAGCGAGTAGCCACAGAAGCAGAGGCCGAGGCACGGGGGACCATATAAGCGTAAGACCCCATCATTCTCCCGTAGGGCCGAGTTTTGATTATCCTAGGGGAGAAGCTATTCGACCTTCACCGCAATAAGCCCCTTGGTGGTCCCCCACTCTTGGAAGGCCTAGAGAGGTGTCCATATGTTCGCTGATTGAACCGAAGTAGGACACAAGTAGATACCAGAAGGCTGAGAAACTTCGGCTCAAAATATACAAAAGAAGCTTCTAGCGCATCGGAATGGCTTGAGATGCACCAAGCTGAGAAGAAGTTGGGTGAGAATGCGCTTGGGGGCTGATTGAGAGACGCCGAGGTCCGCAGTCGAAAGAAAAGAGCAACATTGTTGTTGTTCGAGACAGTCAAGTGGCTGGTTGTCTTTGAAGCTTTCTAAAGGGAAACTCAGATGCCAGAGAGTCGCGCTTAATTTGTGACGTGCCTGGCACGGAGATTGACGGTGAAGCATGGCAGAGAGCAAAAGGGAATGGCCATCGTTTTCCTCACAGCGATGAAGTACTTACCGCCTGTCAGATGCCCTGCCTTGAGATGGTATGCTTTACAACGTGACCCTTGGAAGCTTCGTAGATGCTGAAGGTATTTGGTACAAAGAAGGAAGTAATGATCTAGATGTCTTCCGTTCGGCGACGTGAGAGCTTGGCTGAGACTGAACAATCCAGGCCTGTAAAGCCAACAGACAACCTGCGGCAGCTGAAGTCTGTTACCTGAGCGTGTGTGATACCGTAGAACGTGGTGGGGCTCTAAAAGGGCAGGAAGCTGCTCATGATGTTGCTGAGGGTAACTTAATTCACGTCTTTGTCTGAAAGGTATACTGAACCACAACTACACTCTAGCCCGCATTTCATATCCTCCTAGTTACTTGAAAAGCCCCTCCAAGCCCATACCTACAAGCATGGTAAGGAAGTCGAGGTGATGACTGGTTTGTCATAGTATAGCGTCTGAGTAGAAGCTGTGATCTGCTGGAAAGACTAGTCCAATATGGTTCTAATCATGCAACCGGTCCCCGAGTAATATGCCCTATGATACATGTTACTGCCGCATACAACTCTCAAAGTACGTCAAATCTGACCACTTGCGAAAGACAAAGCACAAAGCTCACAAAAACTCGACGCAAAGTTACGAGATGCTGACAGTATCTTGCGGCGAGACGTAAACTGACTATCCAGGAAAGAAGCCTACAGTTTGACGTCAATGTAAGGTCATTATCAAAGCCTCCCGAGCACCGCATGCCCTCGTTTCACTGACCACGGGCCCGAACAAGCACACCAAGTCCCGGCAATCGGTCTGGCCATTCTCAGCCGGCCGGAAGCCTCCGGTAGCCCTCACCCGTCCGAGTGCCGTCGATCGGATAACCTCTCGTCTCTGGCTCTTACAATCCAACAAAGTGTAGGGCACCATCGGATGCATCGTATTCACTTGGCACAGACTCTTCCGTACCTCGCATCCTTCTCGGCTTCGCACCGCTCGGCCCCGACCCGCCAACACATAACTTTACGAGGCCCCGCCAGCACACCCGCAGCTCCCGAAACAGCGCCGGCCGGGAGCACCGTGCCCCTCCTCCATAGAGACAGAGTGGAACCCTCCAGTGCGGTGCTCCCCCGAACCTTCCGGCCAACAAGCTCCGTTGCGAAGGACAACGGACAACGGAGTACGTAGTCCGTTAGTCAGGGCGGTCAAGCTTCAGCTGTGCTTCTGAAACGAGCCATATGCTCGTAAGAGGGCAGAGAAAAATCTAGACGGAGAGGAGATGCGATGACTAAAGTTTCTCGAAACCTCGTTTAGCTACTCGCGGACTCGTGTTAAGCACGCATGTCCGAGAGAAACAACGGACTGTTCAAACCTTTTTATCTTCACTCTTCCCGAAAGTCTAACCTTGCATGCTATGATTTTTTACCTAACAGCTTCATCACACTAGGCTTTTGCTATTGAGGAGAAAAAGCTTGTACTGAAAATAGCTCTGTCGTGCAAGCATCGTCAAACCAGACCATGAACGCAACACCCCCATCGAGACAGAGTTTTGACCCCTTTCGATGAGCTTCTAAACAGTGGTGGCTCTGGGCAAAAAGCTGGGCAATGGTTGAGAGCGGAAATGCTAACTACATTCGGCTACCCTCCTCTTACAAAGCAAAAGTATCACAATGCCAGAATCCCATCGCCACTTACAACCGCATCGCGATTATAGGGTATTGGGGAGAAAAACCTTGAACGTTCCATCCTCGTCCAAATCCAAGGGTCCATGCCGCGCCGCGGGCATCAAAACCGATGGCGTTGCTTTCGCGAGCACGACACGATAAACTTTCACGGCCCTGCCCGCACCGCAACACCCCTCCCCCCTGGCCACAGACCGGACACAAGCTCCTCCTTTGGGTTGAAGCAACCGAAATCTTCTGCTCAATGCTATGAAGCTGCGGTAGGTAGCATTGGGGGCCGTTGAAGAAAAAAAGAGCGCGAAGAATCGAGCAAATAACACTTTGCAATTAAGATGTCGATAGTAGATAGGAATTGCCGTGGCGTTGCATTGCAGATGTCTTCCCACCCCTCCGTCCCACAGTCCCATCCCGCGCCGCTCATATCCGGTTTTTGTCACCCACATCACGACGCAGAAAAAAACCTGTTCGGTGGTGACATTTCTCGGCCTCGGTGATCTGCAACCTACGTTTTGGCAGCAGTTTGGGATTCCCACTGTTTTCCCCGCCCGCCGTCCCCTTCTCTCCTCCCCCAGACGGACAGCGCCGCAAGGCGGTTACGGCTACGGAGTTTACAGGCTAAGAGGGCGAGAGATGCCCGGCCGGTCCGCCGATCATCGCCAACAGAGCTGGATGTATCCGTAAAGCCCAAGAAAATTTGCACACCCCCGGGAGCTCCGCAAAACAGACTTCCAGCTTGTCCCGCTGGCGCTCTCTGCGCTGGCCCGGCGCCGTTCGCCGAGGACGGAAACGATGCGCGGGCGATTCTTCAATCTCCAAGCCAATGCCGCGGGGTGCGCCGGATCGTCTCCCAAGCTCCCCAACACAACAGAGACAAAGAAGCCAACGGCCGCTGAAGGATTTCTTGGGGTATTCGAAAGGACCGCATAGATGCTAGCTGTCCTTTTTCGAGATAAGGTTGATAGAGTAGCTGAATTCGCCATCTACCATCCCGTGATAGTCTTGGGCCCGTCTTACACTAATTGAATTCGGTCTAGACGGTCCAGAAATCCTTTCTTCAGCCTTTCAAGCAGAGGGTATGATAGAGAGACATTCTGTGGAGGCAATATACAGACGGGCCTGGACATTTCGCAATGCGGCGCCTGTCTTGCGCGCGCTTGCGTGCTGGGTGCCACCCCATGATCCATCCCCATCGATCGAGGCCGACCTTTCCATATTGCTTAATTGCGGCCCTCGAGTCATTTTGACGACAACGAGGAGGGGTGGGTTGCTGAACGAGGCCCGAATAAGGCCCTGCCAACCCCTTGATAGTGTAGTTGTAGATCGTCGGACTGCGCCTTGCTAGATCGAAAGGGATGGACCCCCTCGGATCGCGGAATCGAAAGAATCGACGATGTCGAAAAGGAAATTTCAAAGTACATAAAAAAAGACGGAAAAAAATCCAGGGCTGACTGGCTGTCAAGGGTCTCAGGTTTTTTCCTGCCTTTGCATGTGGCCTGGCACGCCCGGCGTGACGATCCCATCAAGTTTTCCAACCAACGCTACCAAAGGCTTGGGCAGCAGCGCC